ATAATATATTATATTATTCATAGTTAACACTCAATGATTTGGCTGTTTGTAAGAAGATGAGCTGCTAACTGGGTGGTGTAAACGTAAACACATGTATAATCTGAGTCGACCGCAGTGCACTGGCTGACTGGCGCGTAACAAATCATCTAACATCTGTAAATGAGTATGGGCATGCATGGGGACAAAAACCCACTTTTATGCGGTCAGCTGCGTGCACAACTGCAGGATATTGGAAATCCGAAAAGGAAGGAGGTTTCATCTTGTTCAGGCTGGATGTTTAACATGATAATGCAGAGTTTATTCTGTCTTCAATTGTACTTCTTTTCCAGATGAAATGCATCCCAAGTGTAGCTTTTTCCCTTATCTTTATAGATTTTTATTTGTCTTTATTTTCTCATTTTGACAATGTAGTTTAAGGCTTTCAGAGCAGCTTGTCTGACCTTTTAAATAAATCCCGTCATGTTTAAAACCGACACCCTGAGATATTTTCTAGTCCGTGATCTTCCCGCTGCAGCTTTAAATGTTAAAGGTGTGGCAAACATTCATGTTTATTAGCTAAAATAATATTTGAGGAGGCGATTGAGACTCGCATACGCACACACTCGTGCTTGATTTTTAGGGATTTTAAATGTTTGCACATTTCTCAGATGAACACAAATGTATCCACGCACACAGATTTGTGTGGACGCACTGTGTTAATGCCATGCCATGGTGCCATAGGTAAGGTCAGACCTACTTTGACAGTGCTATGCTGTTGTTAGCCTTGCAGGCATGTMTTTCAGCAAGTGTTTTTTTTTCTCTGCTCCTTAACATATGCTGGGTAGCAGCCACATAGACACTTCAGCATATGCTGGCAAGCCTCTGTCAGTGCACTTTAACAGTGCCTGAGGGAAACTAAAGGTCAAAGACACATGCGTGCACACACATACACACACACACACACACACACACTCGTCCTGGCTAAAGCTCTGTCTGTGCTATTTGGGAATAGCAGCACTTTTAGCATTAGCACTACTGAAGCATATTATGGCCTTTCCGCACACAACACACTGATATAAACAAACTGTAACGAGGCATGCTTGAGTTTCTACTGCTCTGGTTGAGCACATCGGGAAAAAAAAAGGGGAAAGACTATCCGCACACAACATAATTGCACGCTGGAATTTCTTTTTATAATCTCAACTAGAATAGAATGGCAATTTTGGTATGTCGTGTCTTTCTGAGATGTGCGCTACCAGAAACGTGCATGATAACCAATCATTTCTGATCCGCTTTGTGTTTACTCAGAGAGTTTCCAGGTGGTCGTTAGAGGCAACGGGTTTCTCCACGCAAGAAACATCAACCAGGTCCTCTGCAGCTTCAAACTGAACGACACGGTGACCGTGGGTAAGCTTTGCAGACGGGAGACGTGCAGCCTCACAGGCAGCTTAAACACACATTCTGACAGATTAAAATCAAGACTTTAATAAAGAACAGCTTCACGATTAGGAAAATTACTGAATATTTGCACAACCACAAGGTTGTAAAAATGAAAAAAGTGTTGTTTAAAAATCGGCTGATAATTAAAATTTAATAATTCTTGTGTAGATGAAAGACCAGCTGGAATAGAAGATACCTTCCTGCTTTGCCCGGCTCCTGTCGTAGAAGAAGTGGGAAGGTAAGTTCCACCTTGTTTTGGGATTCGGTCCTATTTTTCAACCCAGACTGTAGACCCGAACCAAACCAACCATGAACAGCTGTYTTACTAAATTTTTGTCAGCTGCGCTCAAGTTTTGCGTGGACGTAGAAGACTGTTGTCCTTGAAGAAATTAGGGGCAAAGTCATCGTGGTGTCTGTGATCAATCAATGTTTGTCACCGCTAACGAAGCCAGACACCAATCACAAGGGGACGGCAGGAAGAGAGCCCAGGAACACGACTTAATGAGTGTGTGTGTGTGTGTGTGATGAGACGAAGTGTGAGTGCATACACCAGGCAGTGTAAAGTTTCCTCCGAGGGCTTCCAGCTTTGCTCTCGGTGATTTATCAGAGTTGTCTTCAGGGGCAGACAGAGTGATGCTTTTGGCTGAAGCCCCCGCAAGCCTTTTCGTCCCTGCTGCCTGCAGTCTCATCCATAATTACACACTCAGGCCTGCGGCCTCAGACACCTCCCAGTCATCGTCTGTCTTGTTTCTGTCACTCAGATTTCTGCCATGATTTGAGACCGTCTCTTCTGCCAGTAAAAAAAAAAAAAAAACGCTGCTTTGATTGTTAAGTAATGCTCAGAAGAAAAAAAATTTACTCGCACTGCATGGAAAAAGCTGCAGAAAGCTTAAATAATACAGCGAGGTACGCAGTGTTCCTACAACTTAGAGGCTAAGAAGGGTTGCTTTGCAGGACTTGGTTTTGCTTCTCCTGAGACCAAAGAAAAACAGGGGGGGGGGGGGGGGGGGGGGGGGGGGTACGCATTATTAGACACTGCAGTGATGCCTGAAGGAGGCATCTATCCTGTAACAGGGGCCCATCAGAGCAGAGTCAGCACTGTTTAACAGCCTGAGTGCTGCTAAAGAGGATGTCAGCTGTGAATGGCTAAAGGGTCCAGAGAGAAGGCCAACATCTGGCTGATGAATCTAAACGTGGAAATATGTCATGAGGCGAGCATGCACTGGTGCAGACTGGTGATAGAAAACCTCCTCATGTAAGATACGTTTGGGCTTTAAGTGGACATGTGCCTTTTTTAAATTTAAATCATTCAGTTGGGATCTATATAAAGTGGAATTGCAATGCTTTGGTCTGAATTCCTCCTTATTGTAACTCCACAAGCCCCTCTTTCACCCCTTTTCTGAGGTGTGCCTCATGAACTCATTTTGAGGCTGTCTCTTTAAATCCAAACGATGTACTTCACACCCTGTCCCCCTCTAAATTCCGGAGCGGTCCGTTCTAGCTTGATCAAGGGGTCTACGAGACTTGTCCATCCAGCCTTACATGTTGCAACCAGAGTCTGACCCAAAGAGAAGATTGACGAAGACCAAATTGTAGACCAGACCTTATTTGGCAGTTCCTCTGCAAATTCTGTGATGTAATAATTCAGAAAACATCACTGAGAACTGAACGTGTTGAAAACTATGACCCAATACACAATATAAAGATATCTACACAGCACACCTAGAGACTCCAAGTACACAACAAAATGTATTTAACGGCTAAAAATGTGGATTTTTCATGTTAACTCTTCTTATCATGCAATATGATCAGCTAACGCTGTTTATTTACAAAAAATGTAAATATCCTGTTGCTGTCATAAATTAGTCTGTCCATACGCAGCACCAACCCCCATATTTGCACACACACACACACAGACACACACGTGTGCAGGGGGAAAAATGTATGAAGTGGGTGCATTGATGATTGATAGGGGCTGAGATTTCTCTGTCAGAGTGGAGCTGATAGCATCATGTCTGCTGCCCGCCTGAGAGCAGAGCTGATCATGTGACGGGGAAGAGGGGCCACAAAACAGAAGGAATGAGTCAAAGGAACGATTTATGGCACCTGCACCAAGTGTTTCCTTCTCCTTTAAGTCCGTATGTGAGCTCCAAGGGGGCATGTGGTGCTGGAAACCGAGTCAGCGATTCAGGAAGTTTAAGGGGGTTCTCAGATAGGAGGGACGGTGCTGAAGGGATGCAGAACAGGAAAAGCTCTTCTCATACCATCCCCCACACTCTTTCTTCTCCGTTGCCCTCCCCTTCCACCCTGCAGTAACCTCTCGTCTCATCGCCCCCTCCTCAAACTTAAACCTAAAGCTCAATAGCCCCCYTTGTCTCTTCTACCCTCAACCATTGGAACAAGGAGTCTTTTTTTAAAACTAAAGTCCAGAGGTCTACTAGTTTGGTTTGTCGTGTTTTTGGTCATACTAGAGCTGAAAAATCTAATCTTTTCTCTCATATTTGTTTTTGGTTTCATCAGTACTTTAAAAAAATCTCTTTCAAATCTTGTCCCCACCCTGCTTCCATTGCTGTTTTTGTTGCAGCGTTAAATTCTGGTGAATAAGAAAGTTTATTCCTCTGTGGTTTCCACATTAGAGCGCTGGGTCCTGGCCAAGCGCTGGAGATTCTTTCTGTGGGCGGAGGACTCCTTGACCTCTCCATAGGCTTCAGCCGCGAGTCTTTGTCAGCATATTTGTGTTTTTTAAACCAGCGAGTATGGGCAGAGCGGGAACGTGTTCAACACCTCAAGTGAGACTGGAATCCATTCCCACAAGCAGACAAACCCACGATGAGTGTGTTGTTTTTTTTTTCAGGGTGATCTACCTGCAGGTGAGCATGAACGAGGGGCTCTCCTACATCACCAGCTCCGTTCACATCACCACAACGGAGTGTGTGAGTACAACCTGGGAGGTGTTCACGACAACACACAAGAATAAATGTTTCTCTGAGCATGCTGCCTTTTTTTTCTTTTAACTTTTTTTCTAACTTCTTCTGCCTCTTTTTTTCTTCACTTTCTCTCCTCTGTCATCAGAGGAGGCTGTGAGTACATTTTTTTCATTTTCCCCTTTCATTTGCATCAGTCTTCTTTCAGTTATGTTTAACCGTTTATCCCCCTTTTTTCTGTTTCTGTGTAGTTTGACGGCACCATCGTGCTAATTTCATTACTGGTTGTGTTCCTGCTCTTGGCTCTGCTGCTGATGTGGTGGTTCTGGCCTCTGTGCTGTACTGTGGTAAGTGTTTCACAGCCACTATCACACCATTTATTATTTTGCAGAGGTGTATAAAGTACTTWAAAAAACTAAATAAAAGTAAAAATACTTCAGCTGAAAATGATTTTTGATAATAAATTTATTTCATTGATAAGAAAAGTACTTACTGTAATTAAAAGACATAAAACCGCTCCCAATAATTAGAAAAGTAAAAATAAAAGTACTTGTACGCACACTCTGAGAAGTGTAGTGTTGAATTTATTTATCCAATACAATAAGTCAACTGATTCCACTAAACCAAGTTGAGTAAATGTAAGGCAATTTACATATTTTCTTCAAAAGAAAGTGTGTAAATTGCACAGTTTACACACTTCACATATTATTGTGTTCAGTTTTGGATAAATAAACTCAACACATCATTTTTAGAGTGCATAAACGACTCATTTCACGATGAGTTCTGGTCATGTTAAAATTTGTAACAAGGTGTTAATTCAATTCAATTCAAAATTCAAAAATACTTTATTGATCCCAGAGGGAAATTAGGAAGCTGGTAATTTTTAAAGTAAAGAAGTAAAAATGTCATTTTCATGTTTTGAATGTAGCGAAATTAAAAAAGGTACMATTTAAAAATACTTTGTAAAATTATAGCTCCTCAAAAAAACTTTTTACAAAGTAAATGTACTTTGTTACGATACACCTCTGTCGTATTGGAAACTAATTCTYGCATCACTGAAAGTAGAGATTTGTGCTTGATTCTACATGTTTTTAACCTGATATTTAAATAATTTTGTAATATTCAGGTGATCAAAGAACCTCRACCACCTCCACCTCCAGAGCCTGTAAGTCCACAACTTCATCATCTCTAAGAAAGAAATGTTTTTTCACAAGTGGGCAGGGATTAATGAAGAAGTAATGTAGAGTTTTTACGTAAAATTTGTTCCTATTTCTCATGATCAAAGGCAATGTGTAAATGTCACWACATATCACAACATCACAATTGTTGTGTGAAACCCTGGTATGAAGGGCAGCCAGAAATGCCATTCTATTGTATTGTATTTAAGCACATTTAAAGTTTATATA